GAGCCCTGCTCGAATGACGATAGCTAGAGAGTCGCGACTTGCATAATTTTGTAGAGTAACGTCCGAACTATCTACGCATGCAAAAAAATTGCTAACATTGTATGTTAGTTTTCTGAGAACGGAGCTGGTTTTCCAAAGATTCTCTGAAAACCCGATCTCTGGAAATTTTTCAAAAGTTGCTTCCGCTTGTGAAAAGTTCTGCTCTAAAAAGTCTTGGCTATTGAATAGCGAAAATCGCAGGTCTCTATCTCATTTCTATCAAAAGTTATTCAAAAAATGCCCACGGGTCTTGTATTTTGGGATGGATAACAGTTATGAATTTGATATACATTCCGCCTAGTAAGTCTTCCTTGAATTGACTTCAGAAATCAAGTTTTTCCAGGCACTTAAAAACCATTTTCTGGCAATGTCAGTTTGTAGAGCACATCGAGTACATACGTTTATATCACCAACAAAACGAGTATTGACAGAATGATAAGAAAATGTACGCATTATTAATGTTGTAACTAATTTTTTGAACTAGAGAGTTTCGTAACTCTATGAATACTCGTTCTGTTGGCGATATAAACTTGTATGTACTCTACAAAATGGCTCTGTCAAAAAATGTTTTTTAAGTGCCTGGAAAAACTTGATTTCTGAAGTCAATTCAAGGAAGACTTACTAGGCGGAATGTATATAAAATTCATAACTAGCATCATTAAATTTATTAAATAAAAAGAAATGGAAATATGGAAAGTTGTGCTTGTAAAAATGTTTGAAGATGCAGGTCTCGTTTTTTGCCAAAAATTTTATGAATATGAGAATATAAGAAGATAAGACTGATACTTACATTGTATCAAATATTTGTGACATTGGTGGTGTGAATGCATCTTGATCATTTGGTGTTGTTAAATCGTTAATGTTTCCACATAGTGAACGATTATTAAGAGTCAACGAATCGCGCGTACATAAACCGGATTCGTCACGTTCTTCAAGAAAAAAATCTAAAAATCCAATTGTTAAACCCGTTTTTTTCTTATTCTCATTAATTTCAATATCACAGGAACAGTTTAATGAATTATTATATTCTTGTGGATAACTGGGACTAGTTAAATAGATATGATTTGCACTTGATAGTTGATTATTGTCACATATAGACATACTAGGACCGTCCAAACAGGCATAATCTAATACAACATAATCGCTATATTGGCTGCCTAAAAGAAAATAGATCATTGGTTAATTATGTACATATAATAAAAGTTTATAACTTTATGGACGAAAAAACTATAACTACAGTAGAAGAGGATGCTGAAAAACAATGCTCTGGGCTAGTCATACGTATTGGAATGCAATCAATTGAAAACTCTCTTCTCAGTAAACGATGATTTCGGTTCTTTTTAATTTAAATGATTAAAGTATTTCCGTTTTCATTTGAACTGTAGTCTAATCCATAACAAAAAAAAAATAGAGAATTTCTCATTATAAATTTCTGTATAGCACACACACTTCTTCGGTTACGTATTTTCAGATTATAATGAATTAAATAATGATGTTATTTTAATAATTAATCTGGTAAGCGTTTACTTACATGTATGAAGATATTGCGGATCAAGATCTAAATCACATTGTTGTAATCCATTACATTCTGTTCCGATATGCGTTGTTCGTATTATACAATCGCCTTTTTTAAATAAACATTGTTCTCTTTTCGAAGTTACGGGTAATGAATGAACACCAAATGTTATATTTCTAACCAAAATATAACTTCCCGTACGATTACATACTAAACTAATTGAATTTATTCGTTGATGTTGTATATTTCCACTATCACCTCTATTTCGTTTAATTGTACATCCCGATACTGAAGACCATATTCCAATTGTGGATGTAGTGTTTGACGCTGATGATAAAGAGATAAACATTGATATTAATAGAAGACAACTATTCATTACATATATACAATTATATAACGTTTTTCATCTAAACAATAACATCTGAAAATAGCGATAGAATTTAAAATGAAATATTTTAAGTGAATCTAAAATGAAACATCTTTCATTTTGAACTTTTTTTTTCTGTTAAAATAGACAAGAATAGACCAGTGTAATCGTGTTTTCAACACAATTTTCTATCAATTATTATACGCAGTCTACTAACTAAAGGAAATCCACTAATTTTCTAATTGAGGAAACGGTTTTAGAATACAGTACGGTTAGAAGAAACGTTGTTTTTACTTATTGTCACAATCATCAATTCAAAAATGGATTATTGCTTCTATTACAGTTCAGTGAATGAATATAGTACGCAATATGTTAGATATAGATAAGAATAATAATGAAACAACAATTAATCATTTCTGAACTCGCTTGTTGAATGAACAGTAATAATGATGTATCATTCATCGATAGTTTATAACCACCTTATAAGTATCTTAGGTGTTGCAGATATTACGAAGGTCGACAATATTTTTTATTCATCTAGACCATTTTTTCATATAACCGAACATCTGTGCACCTCAAACAATATGGCTAGTAATAATAAAAATAACAACATAAAAGTAGAAGAATTGTTTCTCCAATGATAAAAACGCATCATACGGATAACTACAGTAAAAGATATGAAGTCTGTAATATTGTCTTAATCCTTGTCTTTTGTCTAAATTTCTCATCAGTTAATGTTGGATAATTAAGATAAAAAATCAACAAAGAGAGAGAGAGAGAGAAACAGAGTCTAATATACATGAATGTTGATTGACTTCATACCATATTCAAGAGCAGCTGACCCTGAGCCACTTATGCATGATTCGGTCAATCACTTTATATTGTATGGTTTTTTTTTCTTCTTTTTCAGTAATCAACCATATATAGAGTTGCAGAATGATATCTACCTACATACATATACACAATGAATAAGTATCAAGTTCTTTCATTAGAAATGGTCACTGTGAAGAATTGTGAATAATAAAATAAAAAACTAGTAGTAGTAAAAGTAGTACATTGTTAATAATATTTCAAAAAAAACAACAGAAATAGTTCCCACGGCAAGTGACTCGTAGAAAAGAGAGAGAAAAGAAAAGATCTTGTACTACCTCTCGACGATAATAAAAGTGAAACAAAATAGAGACAAACATATTGTTGTAAAATATTAATAAGGACAACTATTTAACAAGTTGTTGAACAAAATCAAGAACAAAGGAAGATTGGATGGAACATTATTCTTTTCTATTAATTATACAAACAAAGTTTTGAGACGAATGCGTTTTTACCAAATGTATAATGAAAAAAAGAATTTGGACAACTATCGCGCAAATAATCATATTAGAACAAGAAAAAGTGTTCAATTCCTTACAGAAAAAGAGATCATCAGTTAAAAAACGAGCTTTCTTAAGAGAAATATAATATACAAAGAAACGACATCTTCAGAATTTTTCAATGCGTAAAAGGTAATTAAACGTATAATAAGTCTTATAATGAAGATAACCAATTTACATACATGACCTCAATTTTGAGTTCAGATCGAATCGTGATTTTGTTGAAAACATTACGTTAGACTTGGTAAAAAAATGATACATGTTGAATTTTGAAATCCTGTTTTAAGAGTGTTGCTACGATTGATGGATCAATTAGATTGTCCACTTTCAAAAATTTTTAAAGTTAAGAAAAAAAAAAGATATCATTACGATATGACTTATCACTTTTGAACAATTTACACATAGGCAACAGAGTTCGAGATTCTATATGTAAATTCAATGTCATCAAAGTCGATTTCTGAGAGACAATATAGGCTGTTCATTTCACAGACAGATCCATATATTTCAACATAGTGTCGTTTTCTTCTCCAGCGCATAAAAATGAAAAATTTTGAGTATAATTAATTGTAACTTAATTAACTTATCGAGGTTAAACGATAATGAGCTCAAAATCGTATGTTAAAGAGAGAAACATCTGAACCACAGAAGGCAATATTTTTAAACTAATTATCTCTCTTACTTAATTAACCGAGATTTACTGATTAAAATTCCATATATCTGAATGAAATATCTTCTTTTATCTCAGGCTACTCCATATTAGAAAATTAGATTTGTCTCTCTACGATCACGAAATATCGATACTTTTGAAACTCAATCTAAATCTTATGACCAGTGAATGTGTCTAAAATGCATCCATATCAATTTGAGACTTAATATAATTGTTTTCAAAACAAATAAAATCTTACCCATTAAAATAAATGAATAAATTCGAATGATGTTTGTAAAAGTGAGTAATAAAAAACGAGTTAGAAGGGTTGGCTCTCTTCTATCAATGATTAAAGTGGCTTTATTTATGTGAAATAAATGGACATCATAGATAGATGTAATGTTTAACTTTAAAAAATCAGCCCATTTTTATATATATGCGAGTGTATGTGTCCGAGAAAAATGTGATGAAAAAAAATCAAGAAAAAACGTTCTAATTTTATGTATAACAATGTCGTTTACTTATCAATAAGTGCTTTTTGTCACGAATGATAAATGAGCTATGTATTTCTTTTTTTTCAAGTAATAATCAACAAACATCATCATAGAATAGAAAGAGAAGTATATATATGAACATCATAATGTCCAAGTTTTCTCAAAACACGTCATGTATCAGTTCGTTCATGTTCTACATATAAGTGACTTTTTTTTCTTGTCTTCTTCTTTTAAGCAAACTCGATTAATTAGTAGACCGAGCAATATGGAATTACGCAAGCGATTTTGTTGTTTGTTAGAGAGAGAGAGAGCAGAGAGAAAGAGAGAGAAGAAAAAAAGTGCCGTAAGCAAATCATTAATACATGATCTGGAAGCAGGTGTGAGATCTAATTCATTCATATCCATGAAAATTAGCTACTGTTGACAATCAGAATACAATTTGTTTCTGTTTGAGACAGTCTCTATTTTTAATACAATTATACAATAAATACAGAATGTGATTTGAATATGACTAAAATCTGACAATATAAAGAATAAATAACCTATTAGTTTGATAAAAATAAAAATTATCAATTATTCTCTAATACTGAGCAGTTTGAATGTGCGAATATGAGAAATTTGAATTATTCTATATCTTTCAGTGAGATAAAGTGAAATTATATGTATTGTATATAACAAGATATTATGTACTATATATAATTGCCAGAAAAACAAGAGAAAATTCATTGAAGATCAATTTACGTAACAAGAATGGTGATAACTACCCGAAATAAACGAAACAAAGATTTATTTGTTCTTACACCACTCATGTTGAATAGAGAGTCGTTTATCGTGCAAAAGAATACAATTTTGGAAAAATTCATCATTTTCACTATAATTGTTAATAGCGTAGTGAAAAACATATAAATTCATAATACTAACATTATATCAGTATCAAGATTAAACTTTGGATTAGTATGAGTTCGAGAAATACAGATGACTTTATGTTTCAAGTAGTTGTTTAAAAACTTATATGGAACAAACATTTTTCGTTACTACGATCACACTGGCAACAACTTGACTACTAGAATTGAAGATTTAAAACGGTGATGTTTTTGAAATATAATGTATTTTGTAAGCTTGTTATTTTCTAAACATTAAGTTGATAACGTTCACCTTACCTCCATCATTTTCTTTGAAAAATATATGTATGCTTCTGAAACTTGTAGACTGTTTTTCTCTTTCGTTCTCTATTTTTATTTTTATTATTATTGTCTATTTTAGATTGAACATACACAGTATTGAAGAAAGAAGAGAAAAAATTTAAAAAGAAAGAAGTTCTATAATGAGGAATTCTGCATGAAAAAAAAGAAAGAGTACACATAGACTAACTTATATATATATATATATATGGTTTATTTACCCAGTCTATAAAAGTTTGGATAAGAATGCATCAGTAAATGAGAATTCTTTCTATATTCTTTAAAGAAAACACATCACACTGCGGTTTAGAACAAACGCGACACAATATAGAGTAGAAAGAAAAAATAATAATAACAATCATCATTGTACACTTGTTTGTAAAGATGAAATTTGATAATCATGTACTGTTCATATTAAAATCCTATTGTAAATAAGAAAGAGATAGGATATTTTTCAAATATGTTCATGGTTCAAATCAATCGAGAGACTTTTTTTTATCTGTATGTAATTATTAATCACCATTAACTGAACCGTAATCGTATCAATATTGGATACTTTCATTTAATTGAATATCTTTAACGTCTAATATTGATTATCAAAATACTTTTTTTTTATTATGGATCGTGTATATGATATAATCATACATACAGTACAATGCGTTGATCTATCTGCTTGATAGCTGAATAAATGACAGACAATAGTCATATAGGTGAACATCATACTTATATATAGGCAGACATTTGGTACAAAATGACTTTTATCTCAAAAATTAGTCGTCTAATCAACTATCGTCTAAATACGAAGACGTATACTAATTCGTTTGCACTAGTTTGTTTGAAGTAGAATACAAGAACAGTGAATACTTCAATAATTATTCATAATAATCTTATTTTTTAAAATCAAAGTTCTACTTAACAATCGTTATGTAAGAGCTAATATGTAAAACGCTTTTCTCAATACACTAAGCTATCCCCGAAGTCATTTCATTAATTATTTGAATTTTCTTTTTCTTCACTCAGACATCAATGTTATGTTGGTCATTTTTTTTTTTCTTCTTCTTCTATCATACTTTGATTAGTGTGATCAAAGGTGGATAAACTACTAGCTATTATATCATAACCATATTATATGCACAATGTAACTATTTACTTCTATGATGAATTCAACAATTACAAGTCATTTTTGGACTGTTTTTACTAAAAAGTTTTAAAAAAATAAGTACTTTCTAACAGGCGAAACAGCTTTAAATCGATTTATAACTAATTATTTATAAACATTTGATTTTAAATG